CTCTGTAAATCTTCACCCAAATCCTAATTAAAAAAAAAAAAATTATTTTTATAAATTAGTAAAAAAAATACTAACAGATACTCCACAGAAACTCCACAGAAACATGGAGGACATTATGCTGAGTGCAATAAGTCACTCACAGAAGGACAAATATTGTATTAGTCTGTTATTGTAAAAAGTCAAGGAAAGGTTTATATATGGAAGGAAATTGTATTTGTTGGTTACCAGGGGTAGGAAAGGGAGGGAACACTGTTAGATAGGTAGACACAAGTATTGATTGGGGTGAAGAGAAGGGCAACGTACCAAAGGTGAGTGATCAACATGGTGGCATTAAGGAAAAGGAAGACAGAGAGAGGTACATAGGAGGTACAGACAACAATGAACCCTTTTGCACATATAGTACTCTGCTGTCAGTGAAGGCAAATATGGATATACAGTGGATAGATGGGTGGAAATATGGATATACAGTGGATAGATGGGTGGACAGGCTGAACTATTAGGTATGTCTATGCAGGGGGAAGTGCACCCAAGACCATGTATAGGGTTAGCAGACAATGTTTCTACAACTGTATTGGTATGTTCTGTAAGAATTCCCAGGTGTATAGTACAGATGACAAGGGACAAAGTTGTAGTCACTTCTTGGTCACAGGAAGCTATCCAAAGGGAGCAAGTAGTTGGACCTGTGGGCTCGGGACCATAGTCACAGGGGACATCAAGCTCAATTGGCATAATGTACTACACAAAACATTGTTCTACATTCCTATTTTGGCAAGTAGCAACTGGGATCTTAAAAGCATGCAAGCGGCCATCTAGATGCAACAATGGGTTTCTCCTCGTCCAGAGCAAAGAATGAAGAAAACCAAAGATTCATGGAAACAATAGTGCAAGCACCTGGTACACCATATGATCCTCAGCCTATATGAATATGAGACCAGAAGAACTAGAAGGTACCCGGCTACCACTGTCAACCACTCAGAGGGAGATCCATGCAGGAGATCCTGGATGCAGTGGGAGAACAATGTGGAACCAAACTCAAAATCATTAAAAAAAAAAAAAAGGGGGACCAGGTTTGCTGGTATGATAGAGCCTGATGGAACTACTGAGACTATGGCCCCTAGCTGCCTTTCAGATCTGGAACTGAACACACACCTGTGGCTTCCAGACAAACAAATGACAGGTATATGAGGTGAACATTTACGGTGGGTACGTACACTCCTTGGAGAGAACAATCATGGGAGATTAGAAGGGCTGTGTATGCACAAGGAGACAGCTCAGGGCAGGAATGCATGGAGGGAACAACAAAAGAAGAGGTAACTATGGGGAGGAAGTGAGAGGGGAGCTGTTGCATTGTGGTAAATTGTAGTCTACGTCATGAGACAAAGTATATATGAGCTGCTGTATGGAAAGTGAATTTACTCTGTAAACTTTCACCCAGATCACAATTAAAAAAAAAAAAGTCAAAAATGGTCAAAGACAAGAGAAACATGGGGAAAAAAAAATTAACTTTACTAATAGTGAAGAAGTGTACATTAAAACAATGACATGCACCTTTTTACCTTTTAAAATGGTAAAAATAAAAAACACTACCCAGTGCAGGTAAGGATGTTGGTACTCTCATGCAATGCTTGAAAGAAACAAATTGACAATACATACCAAAATTCTTTTAAACAATTATATTCTTTAATCTAGTAATTCCATGCCAGATATTAATCTCCTTAAGGAAATAACCAGGTATATGAATAAAGATTCACAAGAATCTTCCACAACAGTGTTTATAAGCATGACAAATTAGAATTGACAGGGTCCAACCACAGGAAATCAGTAAAATAAGTAATGGCTCATTTATACAATGGAGTGCTATTAACTCATTAAACATTTTTAAGGCTATTTAGTGACATGGAAAAATAACATAATGCAGGTATGTGCCTCTTAATGTCCCCAATATATTCTGTGAAATAGGACGTCATGTGATTTGGACATTGTCCGAACACCTGTGTCCCCAGAGAAGGGGGCTCATAGGTGCACTGGCCCCAGGGGCTGCTGTGAGGCACAGGGCCTCAGGTGAGTGCTCAGCAGGTCACACCCAGCCTGTCGTCACCTTCTCCAAGCCAGCTGCCAAGGAAGCAGAGGGCATCTGAGCCACCAGAGTGCATAACTTTCCATCAGCTCCTTACAGGTGAACACAGGAACTAGGCCCTCCAAGTAACAGGAGCTGAGGGGGACCAGGGGTTGGGAGTTCAGGCCTGGACCTCCATCACTGCAGACCACGTGGGTTCTAGGCTGTGTGCAGCTGGGCAGAAGTGGGGCTCCACCCTCAAGACAAGGGTCTGACATCTTGGCACTCAGACACCTGGGTTCCTCGGCCCATGGACATTTGTGGTTGAACATTGCCCGAATGGATGTTAAGCAACATATACCTGTATTAAGATGGCCACTGATAAAAAATTGCACGGAATGCTTCTCTCAGTGACATCATAAGGTTAAGTTAAAGGATATAAAATTCCAACAACTGCCTTCCCTGCTCCAAGAACAGCCTCTTCTACTCCAAACCACCTTGTGCAGCCACACACTACACTTCTGAAGTCCTCCTGTGCTACTCTAACCTACTCTATATCCCTGCTCTTCTTTGTTCCTGGGCCTTCCCAGTGCAAACACTTCTCTGCTGACTGGCCCCAGATATGAAGATGACACTTCTAGAATATCATAACCGTCTTAAAAGACAACTTTTTCCTCATGACCCAACACCTCCTTCTTTACGGTTTCAACCAACTCTTAGGACATCCAGCTCTGCTCTTGCAACCCCTATAACCTCCATCCCAGAAGGCCTCCCTTCTTTCCTGGCATGATGGGCACTCAAGTATTGAGTGAATGAATAAATGATAAAGGCAATCAAATTACTGAGCTTAACTCCAGATGATGAGATTACATATTTTTATTCTCAACACTTTTCTATTTCTTCCACATATTCTACAATAAATGCATACTATGTATACTTTTAAAACGAGGAGGAAATAAACAGAACTGTACTTTCTCCTCCATTTTAACTGACTAGGAGGTAATAAGCTCAGTTGTATGATTTCCATATATTTTGGAAAACAATTAAAACCTGAAGCAGGTCTAGCCTCAACAAGTAGCTTTTTGTCATTAAATAGCAGTTCTCTTTTCTGGAATTAAACAGTAATATATTAACATGAAATTAAAGCATGTCTCAAAAATCAGACAGCTATCTTGTCAGCCATCTCTAAGCAAATTACAAACTGAGAATCTGCAGAGAGGGCTTCAATACTTTACAAAGTTGGCTGTGTTGTTCTTTCAGAGCTGGCCAGCTTGATGCATAGCATGTTTAGCTACAAACACCTCTGCTGACTCTCCCTGCAACATCTTCATGGCTCGCCAATAGATCTGTCCACAATTCTCAGGTCTACCAAGAGGGTGATTCAATTCCTCTTTGATGTAATCCATCCAAAGATCTTTAAAGGAGACCAAAACATATTACTGCAAACATACAATTAGACAACTAGCAGAGCTTTATTAGGTAAACTTAATTATTTCATATTTATTTAACTCAAGATTGGTAAGAAATTTAACTTCTTGCTGTTACTTCCCTAAAACCCAGCATGAGATTAAAAAAAACCTTGTGCAGTTTCTACCCTAGCATATATCAAAACAAATTTTAAATAAAAGTAAAAATGTTTCATTGTAGTCATGATAGCCTATGTTATTTCCTGAAGTCAACAATACTAAATTTTATAGAGAAAGGGTTTTGCTGAGTCTGTTTCAAGGTGAAATTGGCCCCAATGAGTTCACTCTAACTTTAAGACTTACTAACAAAACTACCTGGGGTGGCAAAAATGCAGCTCTCATTCATTTTACCAGAAATAAAAATGAAACTGTGTAGAAGCTAATTTTCTTAATGTGAGGCTGATAACCACACGTCAGCGTTTGTGTGTTTGTATATAAAGTCCCAGATTTTACATGACATACCTATGCCCAAGGAGCTCTGGTGGCATGGTACCTAGGGCATTTAACTGCCTTAGGTTGGCAGTTCAAACCCACCAGCCGCTCCACAGAAGGAAGATTGGGCAATCTACTTCTGTAAAGATTTACTGCCTTGGAAACCCAAAGAGGGTTGCTGTGATTCAGAATCAACTTGATGGCAGTTGAGTTTGTACCTACGCCCAGTCTTTAAAGCCCTACAAATGAAGCCAATGTGATGACACCCCATAACAACTAATGCCAATTTGTATCCCATTTTTACCCCTTGCTATAACTCCGACTGCTTTTTGGTTCTGATCTGCATTATTACTGTATTTTTTTTTTTTTTTTTCACAAATAACGCACCTCACATAGGACACAAGGAAATAATGCCATTAAGTAAAACAGTTCTGGCATAGCATGCCCATACATATTCCATGCATGTCTCATGACATTTCTGAAAGTAAATTTTGACCTCAGTCACTCATCTTCCCATATCACAGGAATGATAACTGTTCTGTTCATTTTCTTTCATTCTGTTCACTTAATCTCCTCTTTATATGTATAAAGATAGTCATGTATATAATCGTAATTGTATAACAAAGTTATAATGCTATGATCAAGAAGTCATGGATCAAATTTGGTAGTCCCCTGGTAATCAGAAAATAAACAATCGAAACTGTGTTTGTTTCTATTAAGTTGATAATAGCACATTAGCTTAACAGTTGAATGCAAAAACCTTATCACATCATCTTAAGTGAAATCATTAGGTTATGTTAGATCTGTTTATTTCATTGTTTAATGTCTTCTTAGTGTCAACTTAAGCCAGCAACATGTGAAAAAAATTGGCATAACATGCTTCAGAAAATAATGCAGGGGTGGAGGTGGCACAGTTGGCAAGATACATGTAACATGTGCTTTATTTGCAAAAAAAAATGTACAGTAACTTACCCCATCCAAATATCACTTATAGAGGACCAAACCAAGCAAATCTGTCTCTAACCCAGAGTTCTTAATATAAAACCGATAGACCCTCAAGCTTGTGAATTTCTGAAATTACAGGTAAAATTGTGTGCAAAATTGTTTACGCACAAAATGAGGGAAGAGGCAGGAGAAGGATAAACCCAAAAAAACCAAACCCACTGCCATCGAGTCGATTTTGACTCATAGCGACCATCATTGGGTTTCCAAGGCTGTAACTCTTTACAGAAGTAAACTGCCTCATCTTCCTCCCATGGAGCAGCTAATGGTTTTGAACCACTGACCTCTGGTTAACAGCCAAATGCCTTACCCACTATGCCACTAGAGCTCCTTAGTTTTATTCTTAAAGAGGGTCATGACTCAAAAAACCTTAAGAACACTGTTCTTAAGGTTTTTTGAGTCATGACCCTCTTTAAGAATCAGACAACACATCCAAATAGACCATGTGTCTATAATTGAAGGTGACTTACCAGAATCTGCAGATCCAAACTCTCTTAAAGCCCTCTCATAATATTCTCTTAAATTCATCATCTTGCAGGATTCCTAACAGAAATAACAGAAAATCTTGCCTCAAAAGCCTAATGTATAACATCTCAAATTCATTTCAACAACATTATTAAACAGTTACTATCTGTTAGGTACTTAAGGGTGAAGTGGGGTGATTAAATGGAACAAAATCTGGCTCTTTTGCAGAGAAAAGTCAAATGCAAACAATTAGTTCTACTACTCACCAAAATGAAATAAATGCTTAACAGTGACAAAAGCATCTTGCTACGGTACCATACAAGGAGCCCTGAGGCGCACCCGTTGTGAGCTCAGCTAACTGAAACGCTGGAAGTTCGGAATCAGTAACCCACCAGCAGTTCCCAGGTAGAAAAGACCTGGCGACCTGCCCCTGTGAAGATTATGGCATAGGAAACCTTATGAGGCAGTTCTACTGTGTCACACAGGATTATGAGTCAGAATGAACTCCACAGCACACAACAACAGCGTACCATGCAGAAAAAGCATAATCAGTTCTCAGTGAGGGAACTTGGGCAGCTTCACAGATAATACATATGACAGCCTTGATGGATGAGTAGGATTTAAATAAAGAAAATAAAGGAGTAGTTCTCCCAATAGCCAAGGATTTCTTCCTTTTGAGTATCTGTGCTCTGATACATACCAGTTATGTCCACCTTAAAAGTTTTTATATCAAAACAAAGTATAAATAAATACTAGTTATAGGACAGTCAACAACTTTTTTAAAAACCCTCTGACCTTAAAAGTTTTTCACCTGTAAACCAAGGATAATAATACCTCTTAGAGCAACTATGAGGATTAAATTTAAAATGCTGATTAATTAACCATCTAGCAGAGTAGTTGGTACTAACTTTACAATCAATAAATCTTAATTCTTTACATCTACTTCCATTTAAATGCATTCTTTTTTCATTTTCAAAATAGATTAACATCTTCAGTTAAAAGATCCTTTCATATAGTCACTTAACTATATCCTCATTCAAATTTCTCTTCATTGGGACTGTATTAGTTTACAGAAAGTCAATTTAACCTTGTATTTCACACATGCATGAAAACAATCACATTTTGTCGAGGACCCCTAGTGTGCATGGCACTATGCAAAGTCCTTTCCATGCAGTACTTCATTTGGCCTTCTAGCCCTCACACCCCAGAGACCAGCATTATCACCTCCCTTACAGATGAGGAGGCTGAGGCCTAGAACTGAGTGGCATGACTAAGACACAGAACTATGAAGAATGGAAAGCCTGGTTATTAGATTTTACTAACTCCTATACTGTGAGATACAATAAGTAAAAGGGCACATGACAGATACTTGACCTACACAACAATGAGCAAAACTATGAAAACAAGAGTCTAAACTTAATAGTTAACTTTTAAAAATTCAAATAAAAATAACAGATACCAACAAAAATACCAAAATGAAGAGGAAAGACAAGCTGAATGCTAATAGATGTATTTGCTGCCATCACTATAAATGAGCTTAATTTTTTTTTTGGAGGACTATCTGGCAATATGTAAAAAGCCCACTGCCATCAAGTTGATTCTAACTCATAGCAAACCTTTTATGACCAAGTAGAATTGCTCCATAGGGTTTCCAAGGCTATAAATGTTTACGGAGTAAGACTGCCTCGTCCTTCTCCCATGGAGCAACTAGTGGGCTTGAATCACCAACCTTTCAGTTAGCAGCGGAATGCTTTAACCACTACAATAAGACTCCTTGGCAATAAGTAAAGAACCATAAAAATGAACTGGTAATCCCGAGACCTAGAAATTTATCTCAAGAAAATAATACAAAAGATTAAAAAAAAAAGAAGAAAAACTATTCACATCATAAAAAAAGAAAAGAGTTCAAAAGAAAAAGGAAAAGTCATATAAGTAAAAAGCTATTTTCAATACTAAAAAATTAGAAACCTGTATGTAATGGAAAAGTTGAAAAAAAAAAACCCTATGGTTTAAGAATAACAAAATCATTAAAAATATAGCAACCATGTAGAGAACAGTAACATTTACAAAATAAATATGATTGGTCGTATTCATGTAATGGCATCACAGATACACTTGGATTTTTGTGTGTTATTTTTAATAGAGACTCCTGATGGAATTTTCCTCATTCACAAATTCAGTTTAATGACACCAGAATCAGTTGTGGAGGGCCTGCTCTATCTCACGATGCAATACAAGAGACGAACAGAGTGCTGTGGAGGCAGGGAGTGGCACCTCACCCAGCCTGCCAGGGGAGGCTGCTATGAGACATGGCATCTGACTTTTCTTTTGCTTAGAGACAGACTTTCTTTTTCGGTTGATGACCATTCTTAAGCCTTATCTATGAAAAAAAGGACTGGACCAGGAGATCAGAAATTCATGCTGTTCTAATAAGACTTTTTTAACTAGCAAAAGGCTAACAGAAACCACAAACCCATTTTCCCAGATGAGAAATGAAGCGACAGGACACTTACTTGCTCCTTTTCAAACTGGATCATTTTCCTGAAAAAATCAACCGAAAACGGGCGACTTTCCTGTAAACTAAAAAAGAAAAAAAGGGGAGGGGATTTACCTTCCACAATGACAAAAAGCTTCATATTTCATAAATACAAAACACCTAGGCCAGTGTCTCCACAACACATGGCTTAATAAAGACCTGGCCACAACTCAAGGCAGGAACTTGACCCGACCACCAGCCACTCTCAGTGCTTCAAATCTGTAAGGACTTGCTCTTTAGCACTACTAAACTTGTTTTCGTATCCAATCTTCTTCCTGTTCTCTTCTTTGTCACTTGTAGAGTTTAAGTTCTCTCTACAGCATCTCAAAGCCTTCTGAAAGAAGACCAATAATTCCATTTCTAAGAATTTATTCTAAGGAAATAATTCCCAATGTGGACAAGTAGTTATTTATGCAGACATTCCTCAAAGCACAATTACTGCAGCCTAATAAAATATAGCATACCCACAGGATGGTGTACCATAGGTATTTTTCAAATATTATGTTTATGAAAGATTTTTACTAATGGAAGAAAATGTCCAGTCTAATAATGTTCATCAATAAAAGTTGTAAACAAAATTGAGATTACAGTATAATATTAACTATATAAAAAATAAATTTTTACATGCCACAGTAATAGTAGTTTACCTTTTGACAATAAGATTACAGTGAATTGTTACAGTTATCTTTGTTTATTTATTTCGTATTTTCCACCATGGGTATTAACAGCTTTTATCGTTTGAAAAAGGAAAAAGAACATTACTTTTTGAAAAAAATATTCTGGTTTGCTTCCTCAGATACTATCTGTGGTCATACCCTCTGGGAATGGGAAGCTGAGTTGGGGCAGGAGAGACCAGCAGCAGGTATGAAAGAACACAAGTACCTTCTAAACACTGCTCTGGCCTTTCGGTAGCCGCCACTTCGGTAAGCCCAGTCCAGATACTTATCCTTCAGGGTTGCTGAGTCGGCACCTGTGACAGCTACGATAGCTTTCTACAATTTAAAAGAAACAAACTGTGTGAGAAAATTTATACAGATATCAAAAAATTTTTTTCCCAGAACCACCCTCAGGCCATTCAGTTAACAGTGCTGAAAAAAATAACCCTAAGAGGACACAGAAGCTGCATGTTGAGACCCTGCCTGACCTTGCCTTATGCCTCTCTTCTTTGGCTGATGGTACTTTGTATCCTTTTTTGATATAATCAAACTAAAACTGCAAGCTTAAAAAATAAAATAACCCTAAACCTACCCATAAGTGAATATATTTTCTCATTCCCCAAATAAAGCAAGACATAGTATGTGGCCTATACCTTAAAGATAGCTTCTGTGTCTTCTTGGCTTTTAGTATCTTCACTCCACTCTGTCCAAGAAATCCACAATGGTAGACAAACCTGCTCACAATAAACATGTTAGAAAATGACAAGTCAGCACTATGCTCTGAAAACTAACCACTACAGGGTAAATAAACTACAGGTTACTTCTAAGATAATCAATATATAAAGTAGAGATTCACTCCATTTCAAATTCTCACAGACACCAGACTTTTTTGGAGCCATGGAGTCTGGAGGAACCCCTGAGATAACTTTAAACCAAAAATATCCCAAAACAATAGTTTAGCTTAACTAGCAAAAAAAAAATCTGCCCTCACCTAGAAAGACCCACAGTTCCAGTCTCTACTGTCTAAAACCTACTAAATCCGAACCTAGGTGAACTGCCTTCACTCAGGCCCCCAAGGCACACACAAATGAGCAGTAAAACAGTAAGATGTTTCCCACTTTACCTTCTGGAATACTGTTTTGCCACTGATACAAAAAAAAATTGCAAATCTTTAACTTCAAAGTTAGAAATGTATGTGTTTAAAAGTTGGAGGCTTTGGAGGCATGTGAGAATAAATTCTATTAGTATTTTTCACTTGTAAAATATCTAAATAGGAAATTTCATATAGTAGTCACTTTCCAAATAAAGAATTAGAAATAGGTATTAGAAATAGTCTATTAAATGGAAGCCAATTCCTTCCACATGGAACTGACCTCACTATTTGATAAAAACTGTACTCCAAGGTCAGCTCTTAGCCTTGGCTAAGCGTCTTAAAGCGTTTCCTAACAGAATGAATACAAAAAACACAACTCAGACCTGGGGCTTCAGGTACACAAAGGCTTCTTCAAACAGCATGGTAATGTCCGTGCTCTTTGATCCAATCAGCACCTGCAGCTTCATCTGCCACATTGTCACAGAGTCTCTAAACAATTCAATCCCAGCTACAGCCACCTCCAGGGCTTCCTTAAAGAAGTCATGATGCAGCAGCAGCTCAATCTAGGAAAGACAAAGTAGACTGGGAAATTCAGCCTTAATGATCTGTGTAATTAATTATCCCAGGCAATAATGTCAATCATATTTCCACTAAACCTTTTACAACGAATGCAAAGAAGGCACAAAGTGAACAATTTAGAATTCTTCCTCCTTTCCCTACTTCTATCCCCAAGGGCTAGCAAAACAGGGAAGAGATGAAAAACGGAAGCCCCAAATGACTACACCAGATCCACACCCAATGAATGGAGAATAAAAATCGGTAAAGATAAAACCAGTATTTGTGGGGAGGTAAGGATTCAGGAAGGTGTCCTGGTGGTCCAGTGGTTAAGCACACAGCTGCTAACCAAAGTCTGTCAGTTCAAACCCACTAGCCGCTCCACAGGAGAAAGAGGGGCAGTGACTCCACAACAACAGGTTTTAGAAATGTGCTGGCAATAAGTTATAGAAGACAACAGATACATTCATTTCAATGGAGTTGGACATACTATAAATTGATAGTTTTCCAAAATGTAATTTGACACTATGTAACAAGCATCGTAAGGAGCTCTGGTAGCATAGTGGCTAAAGCACTTGACTGCTAACCAGAAGGCTGGCGGTTCAAACCCAACAGCCACTCCTCGGAAGGAAGGTTGAGCAATCCTACTTCCGTAGTGATACTGCCTTGGAAACCCAAGGAGGGGTCACTATGAGTCGGGGCCAACTCGACGGCACATAACAACAACAACAAGCATCGTAAGGAATCCCTAGGTGGTGCAAATGGTTAAATGTTACTGTACTAACCCAAAGGTTGCAGGTTTGAATTCACCCAGAGGTACCTAAGAGGCAAGGCCTGACAAAAGATCACAGCCATTAAAAACCCTACAGAACACAGAACCAACCCAATGGCAACTGGTTTTTATGTCTGTGTTTAACAAGGGTCATAAAAGTGTCCTGTATCTGGCAAAAAATAGCAATTAACAACCAAAAACATACACGAATGGCTACATAAGTAGCTATGTTGAGATACATGTGTATAGGAAGGTATACAAGTATATAACCAAAAAAAAAAAAACCTCACTACCACTGAGTTGATTGCAACTCACAGCAACCCCTCCTTGGGTTTCCAAGGCAGTATCCCCACAGAAGTAGACTGTCAAATCTTCTAGTATTGTATAGTAGTAGGCATATATAAGGAGCTTTAATGGTGCAGTGGTTAAGGCATATGGCTGCTAACCAGAAGGTCAGTGGTTCGAACCCACTAGCCAATTTGCAGAAGAAAGATGAGGCAGTCTGCTTCCATAAAGATTTACAACTTTGGAAACCCAATAGAGGTTGCTGAGTCAGAATCAACTCAACGGCAGTGAGTTTGGTTTTGGCAGGTATAAGTATCTAAGTTTTTGTGTACTGCACATATATTCGCACATGAGGGCACAGTCTATAGCAAAAGAGAAAAAGGGAAACTAAAGACTCGAAGAAACTAGCCTACAGGACTAATTGCCTACATGAACCACAGTCCTATCTATCCAAAGATCAGAAGAATTAGATGATCCCCATCTATCACTACCAATTATTCTGACCAGGGACACAATAGATGGTCCCAGATAGAATGGGAGAAAATTGTAGAACAAAATCTAACTCTTTAATTTTTAAAAAAGGAAAAAAAAAGGCCACACTTACTAGACCAGTTTAGACCAGAGGAATCCCCAAGGCTATCACCCTGAGGTTCCTTTTAAACTATGAACTGAAACTACTCCTAAAGGTCACTTTTCAGCTAAATAACAGATCAGCTCATAAAATAAACAGTATCACCCATGGGTGCTTTGCTCCTTTAAATATATATATATATATATATACACACACACACACACACACACATATACATATATATATATATATGTATATGTATATATGATCCATACGACACTAAATGGTCAACATACACCCTAAAGCAAAGATGAGAAAGTCAGGGGCAGGGGACAAGGAGGCTGGATTAATGGAAGCAAAAGAACCAGAACAGAAATAATGAGAACATTGACACAACGTGGAAAATGTAACCAATGTCACTGAACAGTATGTTAGAAATTGTTAAATGGGAACCTAATTTATTTTGTAAACTTTCACTAAAAACTCAATAAAATACTAAAACAAACAAAAAAGTCTACATCTTAAACTTGGGAATTTTACTTTAACAAATACGCCCCAAGAAATAAATGAATAGATGAAGGAAATCAAAGACTCAAAGAAGAAACTAACAGACTAATAGCTCACATGAACCACAGCCTCTTCTCAACTGAGACCAGCAGAACTAGCTGGTGCCTGGCCACCACTACTGACTATTTCAACCAGAGACATAATAGAAAGTCCTGGAAAGAATGGGAGGAAAACGTAGAACAAAAATATTTGCACTCAAATGCATAAAAAAAAAAAAAAAACTGCCAGACCTACTGGACTGATAGAGGCTAGAGGAACCCCTAAGACTATCACCTAAGATACCCTTTGAACTTGGAACTAAAGCCATTTCTGGAGATGACTTTCCAGCCAAATAATAGATTGGTTTACAACAGTATCACCCATGGGTAATGTGTTCCTTAAAGCAATCAAACTATATGAGACCAAACAGTCAATATTTACCCAAAATCAAAGATGAAAAGGCGAGTAGGGACAGGGAAGTTAGATCAATGGAAACAGAACAAACAGAATGGAAGTAGTGAGAGTGCTGACACACTGTGAAAACTGTAACCAATGGCACAGAACGATTAATGTAAAAATTGTTAAATGGGAACTTAATTTGCTGGGTAAACTTTCACCTAAAACACAATAAAATTTAAAAAAGAAAAAAATGAACGGCAGGAAACCTCATCTGTTCAAAAATGCTTACATACTCACCCCCCCAAAAAAAAAACTGAAACCAATCCAATTTTACAAAATTACAGAAGAGTAGGTAAATGGCAATCTATAACCATTCGCTCAGCAAGCATTTTTGCTAGATGCTATATTCAATAATGAACAAATCAGGTACATTTCCTAACACATCTCCATTATAGCAGTAGAGACAGAGTTTGGTAAGTAACATGACACAAGAATCATATGCTACAGAAGTACAAACCAAGAGCACCCAACAGGTCTATGAAAATGTTGAGAAAAGACTTCCAGTAGGAAGCAACATTTAAGCTTTTGTCATTGCTATGTGCCGTCAAGTCAGACCCGACTCACAGCGACACCTCCTTGGGTTTCAGAGGTGGTATCCCTACGAAAGTAGAGTGTGCAACCTTCCTTCTGAGGAGTGGCTGGTGAGTTTGAACCATCAGCCTTCTGGTTAGCAGTCAAGTGCCTTAAACACTATGCCACCATATGCTCTTACATTTAAGCTAAGACTTGAAAAATAGCCATTAGCCAAATAAAAGCAGAGGCCTCCAGGATAAGAGAAGGCTCTACCCAACAAGCACGTGCAAGATGATGAAAATGAAAGGCAGCAAGAGTACAAAAGAGAAAGAAATCTAAGTTCAGAATGGTTGGAAGGTAGGATGTAAGCTCAAAAATTAAGAGATGAGGCTGGTGATTCAGAGGAGGCCAGGTTAAAGAGTTTGGGCTTTATCCAAAGTACAATGAGAAGCCACAGATTAAGCCAATAATCACTTTTAAAAAATCATTCTGTTAAGAATAATCAGGAACAAGGGGCAAGGTTATGGTCATTACTTGGTCACAGCCAGCTACCCAGAGGGACCGAGTAGTTGATCCTGCGGGCTTGGGACCATAGTCGCAGGGGA